CTTTTAACCTAGCTCTTGTATCCTTTTAAGTCCTTTTCTTATTATTTCTTTTTGCATGTGTGCCTATCTCTGTGTTCTTAAATATATGTAAGAGTGTACATATGTATGTGTGTAGGTCCACGGTTGATACTGGAAGACTATGATAATTCTCCATTATATTCATTATATTCATTTGAGGTGATATTTCTTAGTTCAACTCATAGCTCATTGTTATGGCTAGTTTTGCTAGCCTGCTTATTCTGGGGATATGCATCTCTGCCTTCTGAGTGCTACAGGTGGGCCATCATGGCAGTCCAGCACTTATGGGTGCTGAGGACCTACTCTCATCATCATGCTTGCATGGCAGACACTTTACTCAGTAATCCATCTATCTCAACAGCCCCCACACATTGTGTTGCACATGCTGGCCAACGGTCCTCCTGCCTCAACCTACCACAAATACATGAGCTATGCTATAGGGCCCTGCATGGACCCTAAGGTACCTTGAGCAAGCCTGAAGCTGTTGACCAGAACTTTCTGTCCAGAGCTGCTACTGGTACTCTTCCTGTTTTGCTAACACAAACCTTGTGGGGAGAAACTAAGCCTAAAAATCCTGTTATTTTCCACTGCGCTTTAAGTCAGTATATATATGTCCACTCCATCACCTCAATAAACGGCATTCGGAATTCTGACATTGCCATTGAATGAATGACCCCCTGTCTTGTCTCTTACTTCACTCTCTAGGCCTTTGCCCGATTTGTGGAACAGATCGTAGTGTGGGTGCTACATTAGGCCTCGGGTTTTTTTGTTTGTTTGTTTGTTTGTTTGTTTTTGAGAAAATTTCACTAGCCAGAACTGTCCTCAAACCCACTCAGTGGCACTGGCTGGTGTTGTTAAGATTATTGTCCATATATATATATATATATATATATATATATATATATATATATATAAAACCAAGCCCATTTAAATGAAAACAAACATTTACAGACTAGACAATATTTGGGAATTTGGGCGTCGTTCTTTCCAAACTGCTTCCTGCTGGTGAGGGGCACTGTCATGGGGGATTCTAAGAAGATGCAAAAATCCTGGCTGTGTCTGTAAGGCTGCTTGGTCCAGCTGTTTTGAATGTAGAATCATCTGATACTCTGTTTCAGGCGGTCTGGCTTGATCAAACCACATTAGTCTGGAAGGAATCCACAGCTTTTCATTTTCTGTGGAAACAAAAATAGAAATCCTTTTCCCCAGTAACTTGTCCTTGAACTTAATTTTTTTTTAATTTAAATTTTTAAATTAAATTTTTAATTTTAATTTAAATTTTTTTTAATTTAATTTATTATTTTACATGTCGATCCCAGTTCCCTCTCCCTCCCTCCCTCCCTTCCTCCTTCCCTCATTCCTTTCCTTTTACTCTCTCTGCCCTCTCACGTGCACTCTAACCACCCTCCCCTCCCATCCCCCACCCCAATTCCATATGTAGGGCAATGCCATCCAGTCGGGGTCATGTAGATCTGACAGGTCCTGTGAAGTAGGGACTAGGGCTTCTCTCCTGTCTCTAGATTAAGGCAGTTATCCCTCCATGGGGGATGTGTTCGCAAGGCCTTTTGTGCACCAGGGATACATCCTGGCTCCATTGTCTGAGGTCCCTTAGACTGCTCAGTCCTTCTGGCTGAGACCCATATTCAGGGGGGCCTGAGTCAGTCCCATGCTGGCTTCCCAGCTATCAGTCTGGTGGCCTGTTAGCTCCTCCTTGTTCAGGTAAGCTATCTCTATGTGTTTCTGCCGCCTGGCCTTGTCCTATCCATCTGCATCTGGGTTCTACTTTGACTCAGTGTTTATGTATGGGGGGTTTGCTCCTGTTTCCAACAGACATTAGTTGAGGGCTCCATGGATAAGTTAGTTGTTGATCTCACTCTCCGGGAAGGGCTTTCCACGGAAGCTCAAATTGTTAGTTGGCAGCAGTCTTGTATTCAGCAGTCTTTGTGTTCAGTTTTATCTTCAGACCAATATTGGCTCCCTCTTTTATGTTCTCTCTCTGCCATTATAGTTTTTAAGAGGAATACAGCACTAGGAAAATGTCCAGAGCTCTACAAGGATGACCTCAACTAATAATGTAAGCAATAGTGGAGAGGCTACCTTAAATGCCCTTTCCTGATAATGAGATTGATGTCTACCTTATATGCCATCCTAGAGCCTTCATCTTGTAGCTGATGGAAGCAGAAGCAGACTCCCATAGGTAAACACTGAGCCAAACTCCTAGACTCCAGTTGCACAGAGGAAGGAGTGATGAGCAAAGGGGTCAAGACCAGGCTGGAGAAACCCACAGAAACTGCTGACCTGAACAAGGGGGAGCTCAAGGACTCCAGTCTGACAGCTGGGAAACCTGCATAGAACTGACCCAAATGCCCTGCACGTGGATGTTAGAATGACTGCGTAGTCTATGTGGACTCTGGTAATGGATTAATATTTATTCCAAGTATACAAATGGACTTTGGAACCCATTGCACACAGAGGGATACTCCCTCAGCCTAGAAACATGGAGAGGGGGCTACATTATGCTACAAATGATGTGAAAGACTTTGAAGACCTCCCATGGAAGTCTGCTCCCTAAGGAGCAGAAAGGGGATGGGATGTGGATTGGTGCAGGGACAGGAGAGGAGGAGAGGATTAGGGAACTGGGATTGACATGTAAAACAAGCTTATAAGCTTATTTCAAATTTAAAGAAAAAAATTATCAAAAAAAAAAAAAACATTGCTTCCATAGCCATGAGGCTAGGTAAGGTGCTCAGGGCTGTAACAAAAGAGACCACCAGAAAAATAGCTTAAGAAACAGCTAGGCACACAACTGGATGATGGTGCATAGAAGACTACAGATAGACCCATGTCTATTGCCATGCACAAAACTCAAGTCCAAATGGATCAAAAACCTCAACAAAAATCCAGCCACACTGAAACTCTCAGAAGAGAAATTGGTAAGGAGACCACTTCCTGAACATAACTCCAATAGCACAGACACTGAGATCGACAATTAATAATTGGGACCTCTTCAAACTTAGAAGCTTCTGTAAGGCAAAGGACAGAGTAGACAAGACCAAACGGCAGCCCACAGACTAGGAAAAGATCTTCACCAACCCTAACTCTTGCAGAGGGCTGATCTCCACAACATACAAAGAACTCAAGAAACTAATCACCAAAACACCAAATAAAAAAAGGTACAGAACTGAAGAGAGAATTCTCAATAGAGGAAATCAAAAAGGCTGAAAGACACTTAAGAAACATCAGGGAAAAATGCAAACCAAAAAAGAGCTCTGAGATACCATTTTACACCTGCCAAAATGGCTAAAATTTAAAACTAGAAACACCAATGACAACTTATGCTGGAGAGGATATGGCGAAAGGGGAACACTCCTCCACTGCTGGTAGGAGTGAAAACTTGTACAGCCATTTTGGAGATCCTGGTTCCTCAGGAAAATGGGAATTAGTTTACCACAGGACACAGCAATCCCACACTTACTCATATACCCAAATGATCCACATCACTGCAATAAAGACATCTGTTCAACTATGTTTATAGCAGCATTATTTGTAATAGCAAGAACCTAGAAGCAACCTAGATGCCACGCAACTGTAAGAATGGATAAAGAAGATGTGACAAATTTACACAATGGAATACTACTCTGCAAAAAAAAAAAAAAGCAAAAAACAAAAACAAAACAAAACAACAACAACAAAAACAATGATGGAACTTGAAGAAACCATCCTGAATGAGGTAACCCAGTCACAATAAGTGGAACATGGTATGTACTCATTCATATATGAATTTTAGACATAGAGCAAATGATCACAAGCCTACAATTCACGCTGTCAGAGAAACTAGGATACAAGGAGGAATCTAAGGGATTCATACAATATCCTTCACAGTAGGGGTAATAGACAAGCATATTGGGAGTGGGGGGGCAGTGAGTGGAGAAGAAGCTAGGAGAAAGAGAAGGGGAGAAGAGGAAAGCAGGTGGAACTAGGAAGACTGAGTCAGGGGAGGTATAGATGAGAGAGAGAGAGAGAGAGAGAGAGAGAGAGAGAGAGAGAGAGAGAGAGAGAGAGAGAGAGACCATAAAAGAGGGAGCCATTATAGGTTTCAAGAGAAAACTGACTCTAGAGAAATGTCCAGAGACCTACATGACTGACCACAACTAACAATTTGAGCATCCGTGGAAAGGTTGCCTTAAATGTCCTTCTCTGATAATGAGATTGATGACTAACTTATCCACCTTTGCAGAGCCCACATCTAGTAGCTGACAGAAACAGAAGCAGACACCCACCTCCAAACACTGAACCAAACTCCTAGAATCCAGGTGCTGAGAGGGAGAAGTGGTAAGAAAAGGGGTCAAGACTAGGCTACAGAAACCCACAGAAACAGCAGCAGACCTGAACAAGGAGAAGCTACTGGTCCCCCAGACTGATAATTGGGAATCCAGCATTGGACCGACTCAAACCCCCTGAACATGGGTCTCAGTTAGAAGGCCTGGGCAGTCAAAGGGAACTCTGACAGTGGAACCAGGATGTATCCCTGGTGCACAAAAGGACTGTGGGAGCACATTCCCCATGGAGGGGTACTCCCTTAACCTAGAGGCAAGAGGGAGGATCTAGTCCCTACTCCAAATGACTTGACAGATTGTTTTGACCACTCCTGGAAGGCACCACCATACATATTGAGTGGGGTGAGGGAATGTTTTGGGACGGTGGGGGAATATGAGGGAGGGTGAGAGGGAGGGAGAGAAGGAGGGAGGGGAACTGGGATCAATATGTAAAATAAGAAAAAAATAAATGAAAAAAAGAAAAAAGAAACAGCCAGGCAGTGAGAAGTGAGCCAGGAGGCCAACCTGGAGGTAGTGGCTGCCTAGCTAGCCACCTTGAATAGAGCAGTAGGAACTCACCACTGTCTGCTTGCTTTTGTGCTCTTGGGGCAGGCAGGGGTTCATGCATATCAGACAAGTGTCCTTTCTGTCACTTATACCTCAGCCCTACACAGCAGCCCACCATAGCAGTGGTATGGTAACACAGGTGGATACAGGGTGATGACAGTCACAAGGGCACTGTGTAGCACTCACGTGTTTCTTCTCAGTAATATGTTGAAGAATAAGTCCTAGAACTTCTGCTGCAGCTGCATATACCTCTTTATACTTCACAAAGGACATGTTATTTACTAAAGCTTCAAAATATCTATAATAAACAGAAAACAAGCATAAAACAAACATTGGAATGTTTGACACACAAAAAAGTAACAAATCTCCTCCTGTCAAATAGGCAAATTGAGAAAATATAAATAGAAAATTGATGCAAATTGCTTGAATATAGATTTAAATGTGCATGAATAAAGATTTATGGGCTCTGGTGTCATAACATGAAAGTTTACTGTCCAATCCCAAACAGCACTGACTGTAAAAAGAATAAAGCCCTCTGCTGGATACCAGAGAAAACTGCAGAAAGGAAAAGGAGGACGTATTTAAGACTAGGATTCCCTGTCACAACACAAATGTTGAAAAAGAGATGGTGATGCTCTTTGCAGGGAGTGACACATCAACTCTTGGCCTGTACAGACTCTTTGTGGTAACTACTGGTGCGAAAACAAGGCTCAAAAAAACTCACATTTGAAAACAAGAGGTTTTAGATCTATGCTGAGCTACTACTGGATGTCTTAGCTCTGAATTCCTACTAGCTATAGCATGAATAGCAGGAGCAACTGGTCTAAAGGCCAATATGAATCAATCAGAATTGAAATTGACCTCTTTCACAATAGAGGTGAGGGACCCAAGAGTGCAGGGCTGAGCCTATAGAACCAACTTCAAAAATCCTTACGAGCAGGGCAAGAAGCCAGACATGGTTGTACACACGTTTAATCCTAGAATTTGGGAGGCAGAGGCAGGAGGAACTCTTGAGTTTGAGCCCAGCCTGGTCTATGGAACAAATTCCAGGATATACAGAGCTATACAGTGAGATCCTGACTTAAAAAAAAAAAAAAATTCAGTTCCTTTCGTCATGTCTTCTATAACCTCTTTCCCCCACACTTCATACCTGCTGTATCGTGAATATGTGATTGCCATCAGGACAGAATAAGTTGAGGCTGGAGCCCAGGGAGAGAGCTGCCAGTATAGGGGCAGCCCCCTTCATACTCAAAACAGTTCAAATCCTCTCACAGAGTCCAGAGTACTTACAAAAGTCAATGTTTAAAATGCCAATTTCAAAAGGAAGAGGGCAGGAGAGGAAGATCACTGGGTAATAAAATTTGTTGTACTAACACAAGGACCTGAGCACCCATACAAGCTGGGCATGATCACAAGCATATCCCAGGAGCTGGCTAGCCATCCAACACAGATAAAATGGCAAGCTTTGGGTTAAGTGAAAGACCAAGTCTCAAGGTAATAAGGTAACAAAAGTAACGAAAAAAGACAAGTGATGTCTTCCTCTGGCCTCGGCATGTACATCCATGGGCAGGTGTACTCACACATACACACACACAAAGAAAATATTAAGCAACTTCTGTTTACAGATATATACAGGAAATTACACTAATTAAAATTTTCTATTACACATCTTTAGTGTGCTTATGCCACAGCATGTGTGTGGATGTCAGGGAATTACCTGGGAGACTTTCCTTCCATCATGTGCATCTCAGGGATCAAGCTCAAATTATCAGGCTTGGCCACAAGCACCTTATCTTTGAGCCATCTTGCTAGCCCTAATTAATTTTTTTAAAGCCTACATTCCTCCTTCACTCTTCCACTTCTTCCAAATGGCCTATAAATCCAACCTTATAATTTTAGGTACAAGTATCTGTGCCTGGTCCTTAACTGTATCAATACTACATCTGAACATCAAATCCAGAGACTTCATGAAAGAATCAAGTAGAAAGTATGGTACTTACTTGGTACTTGCTATGTCACACTTTGGGTCATAGGGAGGCAAGTCATTAGCTATTACAATGCCCAATAACTGAATTCCTACAGAATTGTCTTTAGAATTAGGGTCCTTATGGGAAAATTTTTCAAATATTAACCTGTAACACAGCACAAGGGAGAAAACACGGACAGATGTATAATGAGTAAGAAACAGGAAGACAAAGCATTTTCTAAAGCATATGTTCAGCTAAACAGGAAGTAGGCCCTTCCCTACTTCCCCCACTTGTTAGTTCATTGCCAGCCTAATAATTTGTCTCAATCCTGTCAGTTTGTAGTAACTTTAACATTTTAGCTCTCTTCAAGCCTACGAGGTACCTCTGGGTTGGGGTAGTGCAGGGCAGTATACTCCAATTGCCCAGTGTAGAGCCAAAGTGATGGGAGGGCTGAACACCAGGTTGGGGAGCCACTGCGCACCCAGCAATGCTTCTGGTATCAAACTCTGGAGTTGTGGTTTTATCAAAAGCAAAATTTACCTTGTAAATGGACTATAGTTCAAATTATTACTGAAATTATTTTTGTTTTTGGTAATCCTTTATTAAATTATATTCCTGTTAATTCATTAATTATACTTCATGTAGTTATCATTTAAAACTTACTACGCTTTGATCTTTTCTAAGCAATACTGTAGAAACTAGCAAATACGTACCTGTAAGGGATAGAAAGACACTCCTTCCAGCATTCGACAAGGGTTTTAATAATTTCAAGGTTGTGTCTAAACACGGCTCTTTTGGGATGGAAGACATGCTTCATTAGAAAATGAAGCAATCGATTTGCCAACACTTCATCTTTAGGGACCCCCTGAAAATATATTGAAATTTTTCAAGATAAATATCATTCCATTCTGGAAGACAATCTCAGCCTACCCCCATTTTGTTGTTGTTTCGAAATAGGCTTCCATGTAGCACAGGCTAGCTTCAAACTTACTATATAGCTAAGGCTGCCCTTGAACTACTGAATCTTCTCCTACCACTATCTCTGAAGGAGTGAACTGTAAGCATGCACCATCATTCCAGGCCTTGCAAGTAATCCAAATACCCAATTCTAAAAGGAACCACACATTTTATTAAGGAATCTAGTTTCTGGTTATACCCTATGTGGTTTTTCAATGCTGACTACAGACAATACCCTTCCTTGACGTAGGTGGTGGGAGAAATTGTGGTTGCTCAGATGTGTGCACAGTCAATACAGTGTGGCCTGAGGGGGAGGAGCTACAAGTAGGGCTCAAGTCCTAGTTGTCCATGTTCTTCATATTATTTGTCCAGAGATCCATTCCCAGTCTCTCTCTGAGACCCTGACAGGTCCTGTTGAGTCCTGATATAAGGTGGGAGGAAACTGGTAAGACTTGTTTCTACCAGTACCCACTGCACTTTGGCTCTTAGCCCTTTTTATACCTCTGAATCAATGAAGCTGCAAGAGACCTTTGTTCTGGGTCCCTCAACACTGTCTCCTGATACCTGCCAAGTCCTCTATCCCAGTGCTTCTGCTCATTTCACCACTTCCCTTTTCAATTCTGTTGCTATGCCAATGACTGGCAATTCCACATTCTCCTGATGGTCTTTCTGATGGCTCTTAAGTTAATTAAATACTCAAGTTCTTTCATGCTATTGATCAGGTTACTAACTGCTTTATCACATCAATATCAAGAAACGTAGATTTGGTTTACTATGAAATAAACAAAGCAGGAACATCCAGACACAAAGACATGAAGAAGCTATGCAAGTCTATATGAAAGATGGTGCACATGATAAACTTATATACACTTCTGTATACTATCCGTGTTCATGTTTCCAAATGGATAGGCAAAGCTCTCCCACACCCAACTACTAGGGTTCACACCATCTGTTCTAAGTGTAGTACAATGGCAATTCCTTGGTAGTCACTCTCAACAATTTCATGGATAAAAGTTAACACTGTGATAGTGAATAAACTATCACATTAGTGCCCCCAAATCCAGGGACCCGAAGCACAGAAGATGTTCTCAGATATGGAGACAATCTTAACAATTCTGTCACCTAAATTGCAATCTCCTAGCAAATAAGAGCAGTATACAAAAGGAACACCTAACAGTTTATTAAGAAAGGCAAGGCCAAAGGGATTACCAAAGTCAATAAAAGAAGTACAAGCAAGCTGTGATACAATGGACTGTAGGTTCATTATAGCAGTGCAACTGTAGCTAATACAACAACATTATGTCAAGAGTATATTAATGTAACCGACACCCCCTCTCTGATATATTACTACATAAGAGAAGCAGTTTTCCTTACTGTAGGTGTAGCCAAGCCTGTCCAAGAGAGAACAGTGACTACTATTTCCACCACCATGTAGTGAATTCCTTCTCCGTTGTTCTGGGGAAACAGCCAGTTGTAGCAAAGGGCTAAGCCAGTGCTTTGCATAAGGACGAAAGACCTACAGAGAAAATTTATATGGCAAGTATAGATAATTGTTCTGAAGACCAAAATATTAACACTCAAATATATTCTCCACTAGCTGACATTTTATGACTTGATATAAATCTAAAACAGTTGTTACTTCCATTACCAAACATAGTAAGATCTAATTCATTCTGAATTATATCAAGGACTTCTAAATACTCAATTGAAATAGATTTATAATGGATCTTACTATGTAAAACTCAACAACTCTGTCTTGGGTAATATGTAGCTATAGAAAATTATTTTATGCACATGCATAAAATGTAAGAAACAAGGTTATAACAACCAGAAGACACAAGTACTTAAATATTTTAATTTCTTCCTGTGTTCTAAGTCACTCTGTTACAAACACGGTTTTAAAGATCTCTGCAATCACACCCACTGGGGGAGATGAGTGCCTGGGTTCCTGGCTAGAGTCCCCTACTCGCTAGGTCCGAATCACCCAGGGCATGTCCAGCACCCCATCCCCTCCCACTGAAGCCCCAGAGACTTGGGACCAGCCTTCCCACACCTCAAATCATCCCTCATGACATATGTGACAACTGGAGCCTTGGCCATGCCTATACCTAAAAGAGTCCCAGAACTGTCCAGCATAGGCATAGACCCACCTGCAACTGTAGGAAGAGTGACCACTTAAAGCCACAGGCCACACTTACACCAACTGGAGGAATAGGGATACCCTATAAAGCACAGGCCCCAACTGCACCTACTGAAGGAGGATATAGATAGATGACAGTGTATGAATACATTCAACAACATAAAGAGAAATATGGCATCACCAGTCATCCCAACACAGATGAAGCAGAAGAAAATGACCTTAAAAACAACTTTATGACGATGATACAGGCCCTTAAAAAGGAAATGAGAAAGTCCCTTTAAAAAATGGGAGAAAAGACAAACAAACAAACAGCAACAAAAAAAAAAAAAAAAAAAAAACAAAAACAAAAACAAAAACAAAATGAAGAAATGGAGGAAAAGATAAAAAATGGAAGAACTCATCAAATCCTTTAAAGAAAGCAAGGAAAGACAAGAAAACATACACAGGCAAAGGAAACACTTCAAAGTATTCAAGACTTGAAAACTGAAATAGAGGCAACAAAGAAACACAAACTGAGGGAATGCTGCAAATGGAATATCTGTGTAAATGATCAAGATCTACAGGTGCAAGTATCACCAACAATACAAGAGATGGAAGAGAGAAAGAATCCCAGTATTTGTAGACACAACAGAAAAAAATAGATTCATTGACCAAAGAAAATGTTGAGTCCAACAAATTCTTAACACAAAATATCCAGCAAATGGGACACCATGGAAAGACCACACCTAACAATAATAGGGATAGAAGCAGTCTAGCTCAAAGGTGTAGAAAACAAAATCATAGAAGAAAACTTTCCCAACCTAAAGAAAGATATGCCTAGGAAAGTACAACAAGCTTACAGAAGACCAAATAGACTGGACCTAAATAAATAAATAAATAAATAAATAAATAAATGTGCCTTCAATACATAATAATCAAAGCACTAGACATACTGAGTAAAGAAAGAATATTGAGAGCTGATGGGAGATGTCATTCTGTAAATACGTTTCTCTTATTGGTTAATGAATAAAACACTGTTGGCCAATAGGAAGCAAGATAGGTGGGACTAGGAGTCGAGGAGGATTCTGGGAGATGTAGGAGAAAGAGAGCTGTGATAAGATCTCATGAGGAAAGGATGCCAATCTGGTGTTCTCGATAAGATAAGAGCATGTAGAAACACATATATTAGTGATCATGGGTTAATATTTAAGACAGAGGTAGCCAATAAGAAGCTCTAGACATTGGCCAACAGCTTTATAACTAATAGAGTCTGTGTGTGTGTGTGTGTTATGTTGGGACTGATGCTGTTCTGGGACCAGGCTGGTGGGAAAGTGCTCATAACAAAGAGCAGCAAAGGAAAAGGGCCAAGTAAATTATAAAAACAGACCTATCAAAAATTACTCCTGATTTCTCAATGGAAACCCTGAAAGCCAAAAGGTCTTGAGTAGATGTTCTACAGATACTAAGAGACCACAGATGCCAGCCCAGACTACTGTACCCAACAAAAGCTTTCAATCACCATGGATGGAGAAAACATGCTATTCCATGACAAAACAAGATTTAAACAATGCACATCCACAAATCCAGGTCTATAGAAAGTACTAGAAGGAAAATGTCAACCCAAGGAAGTCAGTTACACATACACAAAAACATAGGCCATAGATAATCCCACACTAGCAAAATGAAAAAAAAAAAAAAAAAAAAAAAAAAAAAAAAAAAGGGAAAAACACACATAATACCACAACCACCACGACAACCAAAAATAATAACAATCACTGGTCATTCATATCTCATGATATCAACGGTCTCAATTACCCTATAAAGAGACATAGGCTAACAGAATGGATACAAAGATAGAATCTACCCTTCTGCTGCACACAAGACACACACCTCAACTTGAAAGACAGGTGTTACCTCAGAGTTAAGGATTGGGAAAAGATTTTCCAATCAAATGGACCCAAGAAACAGCTAGTGTAGCAATCCTAATATCTAACAAATTAGACTACAAACTAAAACCAATCAAAAGAGATGAAGAAGGTCATTTCACATTCATCACAGGAGAAATCCATCAGTACAAAGTCTCAATTCTTAACATCTATACACCAAATACAAAGGCATCTATTGCGGTAAATAAGGATCAGGATAAACAAATAAGCCGAATAGATGTTTATTCAGGGAGAAATAAGTTACAACCTAGACAGATGAACACCAGGAAATTCAACCCGATCCTCTCCTGTCCTAGTCACGCCAGAAAGAGAGTGCCTTCCTGGCCCCCTCCGACCTCCTTCCTCAGGTCACCTCCGCCCATAGCTCCACCCCCCAATGGGCGTGGTCAGTGCTACAGAAGGACTACCTCACTACAATTCCCCTTTTAGTCTAAAGAAAAGATTTAGGCTTAATACAAAACTATATACAAAACAGTGAATAACAAGTGTGCTCTAAGAAAAGGAAAATCGAGAACAAAATGACCTACATATCTAGTCCTAGGGTGAGGGCATAATGGAGTTTACAATAGAGTTGTCCTAAGCTGGAAAACGTAAGTCTAGTACCTAATATATCTAACTAGGAAGAGAGAATAATAGTTGTGATAGTTTAATCTTCAACCTCATCAAGACCTGAGAAGGAAAATAACAATACTAGAGTAGACAGGAAATGCGGATGGACAACTTCCAAAAGGTGCAGCAAGGACAGAAACAGCAAGCCACCTGAACAGTCACCCTAGGTCTCACAGCGATGTTGGTACACCCAGATTTGGCTAAGGCCAAGAGAACTTGACAGACCACAACAACAGCAGGGAGGTAGAATGGCTGTCTTACCCTGACTTGGCAAGGTCAAGCAGTCTTCTATATTTGTCTCCTGCAAGCACATAGGACTGCATGTCCAAATCAGTGGTCAAGGTGGGGGCAATTCTATGCCCAACAGGCCATTAGCTGAGGCGAGAATGAACTCCAGCAGGAGCAACAACAGTGTCCAACATATTTCGGGAAAATGTACGGTGCTGTCAGGAGCAACAGTGTCTCATGTCAATGGAGTACTAATATTAAAACATTTAAATTCCATGTTCTGCATGTCTATGAAGGATTGAAGATTAAGCATCTATATCTGACTAATCTCATAGGTACAGGAAATGTGAGTGAAGATAATCTGTAATACCTGGGAACTTAGCTAAAAAGACTGATTAAAACTTTCCTGAGTAAAGCAGGAACAAATACTTAAACAATATAACTATTTACATATACCTACATGTAAATCCCTAAAATAGAGGTAGAGTATAAGTGTCAAGACAAGAGGTAGAACTATAAAGGGCAGCAAGATAAATATCCCAAATTGTATCAATATATAAAATGTCTTGAACACAAGAAAAGTATACATACATAGAATATGGTAAAAAATAATGTGCATAAATATTATAAGTGGAAACATTTAACACAATATAACAAAATATAAACTTAATTTTACATAGCTTACCACATAGGAATACATAACAATGTAAGCTGTAAAATACTATCTCATTCATACTCAAATTCTCAAGGAAATAGGCTAATCTACTTATATCCCATCTAAACCATACCTTTACCCACCATTCCCTATTCCTGTCTAAAAGATAAACCCGAGTGTAAGCATCACCCAATCCCAAATAACTAAAACCAACCCAAAGACGATGACTATTATCCCAAATTTCCAAGGGTAGGGAAAGGGGGCGTAGTCATATTAAGATTACTTCCTGCTGAAATGGGACGATGATTGCTCCAATGGATCCTGTAGGAAGAAAATTTTTAGCAACCAAATTTCTCAACAGAACTGGCTGTGACATATGTAGTTAGTCACTGTGTGGCAGAAAATTCTTGACTGTAGTTCTATTTGAAACTGGCCAGGGTGTAATAAAAAGGTGCACCATTACAGCTAGCTAGTCATGAGTTGTCTCGAGCAAAACAGTCTCAAACCGGTTTTAGGGTGATGTTTGTAGTTCCGATGCATCAGGTTGAGTCAAGTGGAAATGATGATGTGGGGCCCCATCTTCTTTCCGGAAAGTTCAAAGACTGCTGTTAGGAATCGTTATTATTACTTGTGGAAAAGTTACACATCAATATTAAAGTAAAATTTTCAAGTTTTAAGGTATGCATTAGGGAAAGACAACAATAAGCATTAAAAGTATGTGAGAAAATTAGGATTTCAGAGAGAAAATTGCATAAGATATGAGTCCCCAGATTTTGTTTCTTCTGCCTTACACCAATTGGCTTCTTGATTTAAGGCAGAAACCATGAATTTAATCTTAACAACATGCTTGAATTTAGAGAAGGAAAGCCAAATCCAACTCCAAAGCCAGCATTGGTTTACAAAATTTGGGACTTCAGGAATACTAGATAATAGAGAGAAATAGATT